TACAGCAGGAAGAGTCTGCAGGCCACCCTGAGACCCTGCCGGACAAATACAGACCTGTGGGGAGGGAGCTGAGGTTTCAGAAACTATTCAGATAAGGGCTTAAGGGGAAATGAAGGTTAAACTGTCCATACTGTCTCCACAGTCCTACTCTGGCTCGGGGCCTGAGAAACACTTGCTGTGGCTGCCTCCACAGACCTCACTCTGCTGTGGTCCTGGAGGCTGAGGGTTTGGACAATGGCCTGATGGGGAGTTGGAGGCAGGAACTCGACCATGGGTTTGACCACCGCTGTCATCCATTCTTAATCAGGGCACTTAACTCTCTTGGGCATCATGAAAATAGAAATTATGGGGACATAGGTGGAGAGCTACTTGAGCTTTTTAGAAGAAAGATTTTATGTCAACTGTCTGTATTGCTAGTCACCTTGTTATTTCTTGGACTTGATTTCTAAATACTTCAAAGGAAAAAATATTAACAAAGCACATGAAAGGACTTTCTTTCTGGAACCATTTTTGCTTACTGTAGCCACAAAGTCAAATTATACTTAAAAAATTTACCAGGTAGCTTGATATCTGATCTGTTGCATACATTTTATTGTTCTATTACCACAGCACCAGCCAATTACTTCCCATAACTGCTTTGTAACATACGGTTTGCCTTGTTCTTAAAATACCTAGTGGTGATTTACTTATTTACATATTTATATATGTGGGGACTGTTAATGTATTATATATATAGCTCATCTTCTACTTGCCTAGTCTAAGTATCAATATTATTATTCATTACTTGGACTGAATATTTTTCACTAACCATTATTCCAATGTCTAAATCTTTGTTTCTGCTGCATCTCATCAGCTTTCAAACATATCTAATGAATTCTTAATTTTAATTATATTTGTTTCAATTCTAGAATTACCATTCTGTTCTTTAAAAAAATTGTTTATAGAATCTAGTTTTCTCATTGTGTCATTTATTTCCTTGAACACATTATAGTTACTTTAAAATCCTTGTCCAATAATTCCAGTATGTGGATCACATAAGGATTTGTTTCTTTTTTATTTGTTTTTGTTTTGTTTTTGGTCTTGTCTCTTGGCATGCCTGTAGTTTTTGAGTGAATGTTGGACAATATATGTAAAATAGTGTAGAGATGTTGGATGATATTATCTTCCTCTGGAGAGGATTTGATTTTTTTTGCTGCCTGGGAGTAGATGCAGATCACCTTGATCCATTTAGGACTGAGATAGTTTAAGGCTAGGTTTGTGAGGGCTGGTCTATTTCCAGTTTGCCTTTATTTCCAGTGTTCAGGGTTTTCAGCTGAAGGCTTTAGTTATTTACCAAGACCCCTCCTCAGCTTTGTGAATCTACTGAAAACTCTGCTTAGTTTATTACCTCTTAGCAGTTGCTTTCTCCTGAATGTCTTGCCCCTGAACAGCTTAGGATTCAGCAAATGCCTCAGGATAAAATCTACTCAGAATGTCAGACTTACTTCTCTTTTTTTCCCTTTTCTTTGGAAAATTTGCCCCTCGAGTCCTGGTTGCCTTTTGTATCTCTGAACTACAGATTTTGTTTTCCGTCCCCAGTGAAACTGCTGCTGCTTCTGCCAAATGCCTGAGATGAAAACACAGTGGGAAGTGCTTGCTCATCTCAGTGCATCTCTTTTCTTTTAGGTTTTGGCCCCTCAAGTGCTGCCTGCCTTTGTTCACCTTGACTGATCTCTGATATCTTCAAAGAGCTGTTGAAAAAATTTACCCAAATTTTACGTTGTTTAAATTTTGCAGTAGTCTCGATACAACTGTGGAAGGTGGGCGATTTAGTGTGTTATAAGCTTACTTCATCATAGTTGGAAGCTGAGGTCTTAATCTTAAGTTTTTTATTTCAATGGTCACATTTTCCCCTGAGATATTCATTTGGTTGTTTCTCAAATCAGCATCATCTTTTTTTTTGGATAATATTCTGTTTCTATCTTGTGTTTTCTATTCTTTATTATTTTAATCATTTGAAATATACTTATTTTATAGTTTATATACTATTAAGTTATTTGAAATTCTCAGGGGTTTATTTATTTATTTATTTTATTGGAGTAAAATTGCTTTACAATGTTGTGTTAGTTTCTGCTGCACAACGAAGTGAATCAGCTATATGTATACCTATATCCCCTCCCTCTTGGACCTCCCTCCCCCCCCCCACCCCCCATGCCACCCATCTAGGGCGTCAGAACACCGAGCTGAGCTCCCTGTGCTCTACAGCAGGTTCCCCCTAACTATCTATTTTACACATGGTAGTGTATTTATGTCAAACCTAATCTCCCAATTCATCCCACCCTCCCCTTCCCCGCTTTGTCCACATGTTCATTGTCTACGTCTCTATTCCTGTCCTACAAATAGGTTCCTCTATATCATTTTCTGGATTCCACATATATGCGTTAATATATGATATTTATTTTTCTCTTTCTGGCTTACTTCACTCTGTATGACAGACTCTAGGTCCATCCACATCTCTACAAATGACCCAATTTTGTTCCTTTTTACGGCTGAGTAATATTCCATATCCATACAGCTACTGCATATTTGAATTCCATATCCACATCCTCTTTATCCATTCACCTATTGTTGGACATTTAGGTTGTTTCCATGTCCTGGCTATTGTAAATAGTGCTGCAATGAACATTGGGGTACATGTCTCTTTTTGAATTATGGTTTTCTCAGGGTATATCCCCAGTAGTGGGATTGCTGGGTCATATGGTAGTTCTATTTTTAGTTTTTTAAGGAACCTCCATACTGTTCTCCATAGTGGCTGTATCAATTTACATTCCCACCAACAGTGCAAAAGGGTTCTTGTTTCTCCACACCCTCTCCAGCATTTACTGTTTGTAGAGTTTTTGTTGATGGCTATTCTGACCAGTGTGAGGTGATACCTCGTAGTTTTGATTTGCATTTCTCTAATAAACAGTGATGCTGAGCAGCTTTTCATGTGCCTCTTGGCCATCTGTATGTCTTCTTTGGTAAAATGTCTATTTAGGTCTTCTGCCCATTTTTTAATTGGGTTGTTTGTTTTTTTGATATTGAGCTCCATGAGCTGTTTGTATATTTTGGAGATTAATCCTTTGTCCATTGCTTCATTTGCAAATATTTTCTCCCATTCTGAGTGTTGTCTTTTCATCTTGTTTATGGTTTCCCTTGCTCTGCAATAGCTTTTAAGTTTAACTAGGTCCCATTTGTTTATCCTTGTTTTTATTTCCATTACTCTAGGAGGTGGGTCAAAAATGATCTTGCTGTGGTTTATGTCAAAGTGTGTTTTCCTCTCAGAGTTTTATAGTGTTTGGTCTATATTTAGGTCTTTAATCCATTTGGAGTTTACTTTTGTGTATGGAGTTAGATAGTATTCTAATTTCATTCTTTTACATGTAGCTGTCTAGTTTTACCAGCACCACTTATTGAAGAGGCTGTCTTTTCTCCACTGTATGTTCTTGCTTCCTTTGTCATAAATTAGGTGACCATATGTGTGTGGGTTTGTCTCTGGGCTTTCTATCCTGTACCATTGATCTATATTTCTATTTTTGAGCCAGTACCATACTGTCTTGATTACTGTAGCTTTGAAGTATAGTTTTATTATATATTATCTGCTGATTCAGTTCGCATTTGCTTCTGCCAGTTGCCTCAAGAGGGTATTAACAGCTAAGAACCAATTTTTATGTTAATTTCTTGGTTTGGGATGTATTAACCCATACAGCTACTGCATATTTGAATTCTAAATGTAAGTGAGCAGAGAGACATGGTTGCAAAATATGAAGGGAGAGATTTTTTTTCTCCATTTTGTTTACTTGTGAGTGAATGTTTCTTGGGTCATATTTTCACTTAAGATATGGACTGCATATAGGATTCTGACTTTAGGTGTTTATATTAGTTCCAACTCTCCAAATTACATGGCCTCAAGGTCTTGGCTGCTGTGAGTTCTGAGTTCCTCGGGCTGCTGAGACATCAACACCTATTGCTCCCTCTCATTTTCAGTTTTCTTTTTGTATAATCCCAAAGGATTTGCCTCATTTTCTTGGGGGTTCAGTTGTGTTATATGTGAAGAGACTTACATATTTTATTCAACATTTCTGGGTGTTCTTTTAGGCAAAGGTTTTCAAGTTGTCTGATTTTTCATAATTTCAGAAATGAAAGTCTTAACTGACATAATTTACATTGCTGGGTTACAGTAAAACTTGTTAAGTGTTATCTATTATTAAATACCATCATCAACATTATTTCCACATATATATAAAATGTGAATATTTGGATTATAATATATATATTATATTATAAATATAAAGATATAATATATATGCATGTAATAGATTATATATAGTATATAATAGATTATAAAGCTTTGTGATAACTGCTCTGTGAACTGGGTGTATGGTTACTGGATATAGTACAATGTAGATCATGCTACTAAAACACAATAAAATCTGGCCTATTGAAATAGTTGGAAGTACATCACCCTTCTCTCAACTACATGTTTCTCTGTCTTTAAAATCTTTGTTTTAAAACTCTGATTTTCTCAGTGAAATTAGAAAATGTTGTGGCTTTGAAGCTTTTAAACATTGAAAGATATATCTCTGGGAGTGTATATTTATGTGTGAATCACTTCACATTCACTCATATATATTATTTATATTTGGATTTTAAAATTTTATATTTGCATGAAATTGTATATCCTTTTTTTCCTTTTGTAGGAGGGTACTTACATCGAGACTTGAAATCAAAGAATATATTTCTGAAAAATAATCTACTTAAAATTGGTAAGATTTTAAGAATATGTATTCTATGAGAGAGTATATTCTAGATGTTATTAGTATATCAAATTCGAGTATAAAGTACCTAAAAGTGTTAGAATAATCATTGGTTTGTTCAAACTTACTAAATTTTTGTTCTTGATTGGTTGTGCCCAACAACAAAAAAAACAATTATTTTGTTTCTGATTATCTGATATAAACTGAGGTATAAAACATTTGCTACATATTAGATAGATTCAACAAATATCTTTTGAGTTCCTATTCCATGCCATGCGCTAACCATTAATAAATGATTAGACTTGTTTTACTAGCTTGATTACTACAGTTTTCCGACTCCCCTACTTATTTTATCACAAGCAATTAGCAGTTATCACAGATAATTAAAATGTTGATATAGTTAGTTCTCCTTTAGAACTGTACCTACACTCACAACAGTTACTAGATTGTTTGATCTTATGTAGGTGTTCTTAGAGGGGGAATCATAAAAGCATGCAACTAATTAGGCAAGTATACTGAAGCTGATAGATTCAAATTTTTATAGTCATGTTCTTGAAAAGTCTCAGGTTTTTTGTTTAAAATTTCTTTATTGTAAATGAAGAACAAACTCTCCCCCCAGATAAAATTGCAAGTCATTATATTCAGTGCTTCCAGAATCATTCTGTTTGTTGTTATTCAGACTTGAAATAGCTTTTTGTTTCAAGTTGCTGGCTTTCCATAATTCCAGGAAAAAAAGTTTTAGCTTACATAATTCACTTTCCTGTCTTCAAAGTCTTCTTTCTCCTATAAGGCTTTTATTTTTAAAGCTATTCTCCAGTATTGTATAATTTAAAATGTGTGACTTTTCTTTCCCTTTAAAATGGTATGAATCATTGCATATTAAAATTGTCAAATTAGACAGTTGTTAATTTCCAGTACAGTACTGATTTTTGTGTTTTAAAGTATTCATAAAAATTAATTATTATTTCTTAATGGGATCCTGTGATCTAGCCACCACTTTAACTGGAACTCCCCATTATATGAGTCCAGAGGCTCTGAAACACAAAGGCTATGACACAAAGTCGGATATCTGGTGAGTGGGCATGGGCTGGTCCAGGCTCCTTATTCATTTGCTACCCTGAGAGACGGTGCATTTTGTTTTTAGGCTCATTTACTTACTACGTCCACTCACTTTATCCCTTTTAAATATTAGTTATTCTGTAAACAGTGTAAAAGAAGGTCTTTTAGATTAGAAACTTGATATATTCCATTAAATTGATTTCAAAAATTCTCTTTATTCATAGATTAACTGGTTGGTTTGGATTTTTTCTTCTTGAACCACGAGGGAAAGTTCCTAATGTATCATAAACATTAAATTTTGATATGTTTCTGCTAGTCTATTACATAAAGCATTTGTAATTCTAAACACTGTGTTTTATTTTTTTTTAAGATTAACTTCCATCTCTGTGGGGAATATATAGCTTACCTTTATTTTTTGTCTTCTTGTTGCTTTTAAGAATTTTTACTAAAGATATTAGCTTTAAGGATCAACTTAACTTAAAAAAATTCTGGGTTTTCGGTGATAGATACATTTGAGATTTCTCAGCTTCTTTGAGCTCTGTTCCAAAGGAATTTCTCCTTCCTCGTTGGGGAATCAGTTTAAATCTCAGTGCAAGAAGCCATGTGGAAAACTGTATTCTGTTGATAGCAATAGATCCTAATTGGGGAAATTTTCCTTTCCTTTGAAGAAGAATCTTATATAATTTTCAACTTGTTAAGGGTTGAAAGGACAATTTAGCTGAGAACTTGTTAATTAAGTAATTATTGTATGCAAATCAACTTAAGTAGTTCTGAACTTTCAAAGATGAGCAGTGTGAAATATTGTGTCCACTTCATTCTTCTAAAAAGATAAAGTAGAAAATTACCTTTTCTCTTCTTAGGGAAAAATAAGCACAGCAGGGGTTATACCTTGGGATTTTCAACAAGGTCATTACTCCTGTTCTTGCTCTGGTCCCTCCCAAGTGGGAGAGAACACTGTCACTATTAGGTCTGGCTGGGGCAGATCCCTATCCATCCTGCCTCTTCAATCACTCTTGGGATTATACATTTCTAGGTTCTTCAGTGGTTTTTTTCATTGTTAACTAGTTTCTCCTCTGGTGGTTTTTTCCAATTCACCTATCATCTTTTCTCAATCAAGACGTTCCCTGATTCCCTCCAAAAACAAAAACTAAAACCAGACAAAATCCACAAGGTATATTCAGATGAATGAGTTTCTTTAAACTTCGCTTCATTGAACATCTACTATTTGCCCATGGCTGTTCAATAGCCCTTAGCATATAAAATCAAAAGTGATAGGATTCCTGACCCACAGGAAAAATCTTCTTGCTCTTTTTGGTGTACTTTTCTCCAGTTAGAGAAAAACTAGTCTTGGGCTTTGGATCGAATTTGAGTTAACATACCTAAATCTCTCTTCACACTTATTTTTATTATTATTATGGAAATGTAAAAATAGATTTCAATATAAAATTTCTTCATGATTAAGTTTACACGGTATCTCAGGAAGATGTTACATCATGTCATTTGAATGAAGAGTAAATTAATTTTATGAAGCTTATCATTTAAGTCTTTGGAATTACATATAGCAAGAAAGCTGACTCCTTTTGACAGGTGTCTATATTTGCTTGCCAAATTGGATGGACGTCACCTAGAAAACCAAGGTAAAGGAGCCCACAGAGAGGAGGGCATAGAGTCTTTTGCTTCAATTGTGTTTTTCTTACTTCTTTTAAAGACAAAAAACAAAACTGTTCCTAGTATTGCATGAAGAATCATAGGAATATCAGACAGTATTGCTATAATGTTTTAGGCTTACGAAAATGATATCTGACTCAGGCAAAACTTAAAAAAGCCAACACCTCCCAAATATAGAAATGCAGGAGAATTTTTATATATTTTTGCAAGCATTAGGTCAGCTCTCCTTGCAGGGATTACCAACTACTCAGAAAGTTCTAGGCAAGGATTTATCATCATCATGACCCCAAATAACCACCTTATTATGAATTTAGTAATTACCTTGGTTGTATCCAAACGAAAATGGGCTTATCTGGTAATGAAATGTCTACTGTTGAACCTAAAGTGGAAAGAATAACAGAAAATATAAATTATAGTGGCAGATATATGTGTAGTGAGCCATCTTTCAGAGACACTCTTAGAAAATTTAGATTGAATGGGGTTGAGAATTTTTCCACTGAATCTCGGTGTGTAGCATCTGTTTACTGTGGAATATTGTCTTAGGATTGGAAACACTTATGAATAATTGACAGGTGTTTTGCTTTAGCATTAATGGCTATACATATTTATTTATAATGCTTAAAGAAGAAGAATTGTTATAATACTAACTATATTTTCATCTGTTAATGCTCACCCATATGTAACTTTGTCCTCTTTCTTAAACCTGCTTAAAACTTTTGGGATTCATTTATTTACAGCAATCAAGTACAGGAAGTCCCTTTCTTAAAACTGGGTTAGGTTCTAAAAGTTTATAAACAATTATTGGGAAAGTTAGGATAATTAAGTTCAGTGAGGACAATACTTTGAACATGGCTGATTTGTATAAGCTATTGCTGAACATTTTTTTCCCCCACAGGAAAAATATAATATATGAGTTGGGTTCCTAGACTAGTTCTTTAAATTGGTTTAAACTATGAATAGTTAGAACTTATTATTTTTGTAGGAGAAACAAATAAAGAACAATGACAATATTATTGGAATAATGGTACTGTAAGCAGAAAGGAAACAGACTATTCATTGTTGGCCTTATTTGTCATGTTGTGAGAGGTCACCAGATGGCCATACATTCTTTGGGTGATTTAAGTGGAGTTACTGGTGGTGGGGAAAGTATAATGGGATGCTCTCAAAGTTTTGTTCAGGGGTCTGGTATGGTATTTGGCTGGGTCGGGGACACTGGAGGAGTCTAGTTCACACCCAACATTGGAGTCAGGGTGTAGTGACCTTGGATGGAAATGTTAGACAAGGCTTAGCTTCAGGTGGAAGAAAACAAAGAGGAACCAGCACCTGCCTGGTATGCCAGGACTAAGAAAGTATCCTCACAGAAGAGCATTCCCAGGGTTGACAGGGTAAGGGGGTAGAGAGGAAAAAAAGCTTGTTTTCTGGTGAAGGATTTAGGAAAAGGGAGAGACAGGCCAACCTGACAGCAGGTTCTGTAACTAATGTGGGATCTCAAGTAGCTGGCAGCCAGCAGCCCCATCAGCTGCCTCTCGGTGAAGCAAGCTCTCACCTGCCCATGTTCTGGGCATTTCTTGTGTGGGTTCAGAGCAAGCTGTTGGACAGCTTCAACTTCCTGGGGAGTGAGCCTTCTTGGGGAGTGAGCACTGGCATCATGAGTGAAAATATTTCACTCATCAGAAGCTGAGGTAGGGAAACACTTAAGTCAGCGGCAGTAAATTTGAGTATTAATATATTTTTTCAATGATGAGCATGAAATGATTGATACAAACTCTGCAGATAATGTTAGTCTGGCCTGGTGGATTTTTAAAAGGGCATAATACAACATCAGCAAAAGAACCAGGAATATCTACCCTCTGTGGAGTGCTTACTCCATGATTGACACTTAATGTGCTAAATTCTTCATGTACCTATCTAAGTTTATTTGTTACTCCAAAAAAAAAAATCACACTATGTATAATTTTATAACCTGTTTTTTTTTTTCATTTAGCAAAATAATAGAACATTGCTCTGTAGCAACAAAATATATATACATATCATCTAAATGTTTGCATAACATTCTATTCCTGGACACAATAGTTTATTCAACCAAGACCTTAATGTTTTCTCTGAAGATTTTCTCTTTGTCTTTCAGCATTTTTACCCGATGTATCTAGGTGTGGATTTACATTTATCCTACCTGGGGTTAGTTGAGATTCTTGGACATGTAAATTAACATATTTCATCAAACTTGATCAGACTTGGGAGGCTTTCAGCTCTTCTTTTTCTGAGTATTTTTTTCCTCCTCTTTTCCCTCTTTCTTATCTTTCTGGTCTTCCCACTGTGTGTATGCTGGTGTGTCTTCTGGTTTCCCACATGCTCTGATGCAATGATCATTTTTCTTCATTTTTCTCTCCATTCTTCAGATTTGCATAATATCTGTCAGTCTCTCTTCAAGTTCACAGATTCTTTCTTCTGCTAGTTAAAATCTACTGTTGAGCCCCTCTGGGGAATTTTTTGTTTTAGTTATTGTACTTTTCAACTCCAGAATTTCTACTTGATTTTTAAAATAATTTCTCTCTGTTTACTGATATTCTCCATTTGATGGGACATTTTATCATACTTTACTTCTTTAAAGAGTTTCCTTTAGTTCATTGAACATATTTAAAATGACTGCTTGGAAATCCTTTTCTGTTAAATCTGACATCTGAGCTCTCTAAGTTAGTTTATGTTGCCTGCTGTTTTCCCCCACGTATGGATCATTCTTTCCTGTTTCTTTGCATGTCTCATAATTGGTGAAAACTGGACATTTTAGATGATATATTGGAACAACTCTGGACACTTACTCTCCCCACTCCCCCACCTCTCTGGGGCTTGTTATTATTTGCTTGTTTATTCACTTAGTGAATAAACCCCTTTAATTTGGGTAAGTCTGTGATCATGGCAAAATTATTACTATGTGCCTTCTGAGTCTAGGTCATAAAAGGTTGACAACGCTTCTGTCTGATTCCCTTGAGATCCTTGCTCTTGGAATTCAACTATGGTGTTGTGAGGAAGTCTGTGTAGCACACTGGGAGTACAGTGTGGAAGGAATCAAGACCTCTGGGCTTTAGCCCTGGCTGAGCTTCTACATAATGGCCAGCACCAATCAGCCAATCATGTGAGTGACTTGGAAATGGATCTTCCAGCCTCAACTGAGGTTGCCCAGCAAATGCCATGGGGAGAAGATTCAAGGCCTTCCTGTCAATTTCTGAGAGAATAGATTCATGAGTAAAATTATTGACTATTGTTGTTTTAAGGCACTAAATTTTGAGGTGCTTTATTATTTATAGTGGTGAATAGAACAGGGATTTGTCAGGAGGACAATAAGCA